GTGTTCAGTAACAAAAATAAAAAGATTATTAAATAAGAAGAAAATCATTAATGCCTGATAGGAAGATGGAAAAAAAAATTATTATAAACACCAGAAAAAGATTCAAACTTTCACTACCTCTTTTTACCAGCAAGTTCTTTACAAACGCCTAAATTTGAGCAAAGAGTCAGTGCTTTCTCCACATACGGCTTCTTGCTCAAGTTGGTACGGCTGTAACCGGTTTCCTTTTATTGAATTTTTGTGTATTTACTAGATGCTATTTGTCTTCAGTGGATATTTCTTCCTGAGATGCCCAAAATAAACCACAAGCTAAACAAACTCTTACTTTTAGCTTCAGAGAAAACTCATAAGTTCCCTAGACTCAGTTTCTGGAAGTTTTTGCCAGATTTGTTACATGCGAGTTTAACATTTTAGCCTTCACTGTCTAGCACACTGATGCATAGTCTAACTGACTTTTTGGATTGTTTTGTATCTTTGTGTACGGCTGGATCCCTGTCACTAGGCAACAACAGAAATTATTTTTTTCTCTTTACCTTTTAATGCACTGAACTATTCACTCCAGCTGTTTACTTCAAGATTGCATAACTTTATTAAGGTGCATCTAAATAAACAGGCTTCTGGATCCCTTGTTGCCAATCTCCCACAAAATACTCTGAGAAACTTGAACCTAAAACTATGCCTCCCCCTTCTCAACACACAAAATACAAAGTAAACTTAGTTATACATTGTTTGTAACACAAGTCAGGCAATTTTCCTAACTTCCCAAATGAATTGCTTTATGTTGGTTTCCTCAACACCTTGAAAAGCCACCATTATGTTTTATCATACACTCCGTCCTACAGTCTTCCAAATTCAGTATGAATTCAGGGAATTACTTGTCCAGGCTACTCTTAGTTTTAAGATTTTCTGAAATGTTCCTCACTCCATTTAGAAAATCCTTTGTTTCTGCTGTTAGGAATTCCAGAGATTAATTAACCAAGATCTTTTTTATCCTCCTCTGTCTTTTTATTACGAATCTGACACAAGTTAGGGGTGAAAGGATCAGAAATTATTCTTAGTTTCCTCCACTGATTGAATGAAATATATTTCTCTGACTGAATCCAGTTGATCATCACTGAGCTGATTTTATTTGTATGTTAACAACATCTTGTATGTCGGCATGGTTTACATTTGGTATCCTGCCTTTTGAGTTTCAAGCACAGTTTTTGAAGCAAAATGTATTAAAGTTGTTAGTAATTATTCTTATGAAATCAGGAAAGCTTCCATTAATCACACAAGTAAATTCCCTTTCCTTGTCAGCAGCAAATGTTCAGTTGGTCATCTGCAAGTTTCATTTGGCATTGTCATTGTGGCATGTGTGTTCAGTGCATGGTAGATTAAAAATTTAACATTGTGTGGTCTTTTGGTGCTGTTGCTAGAAAACTATAACTCTTTTGAAAGAGATTAATCAATCTTTTTCCTTTCAATGTCAACCTGTTG